CTCTCTCTCTCTCTCTCTCTCTCTCTCTCACACACACACACACACACACTCGTTCTGTAGCGAGGAAGAGATGAATACCTCATCTGCATGAGAGGACGCGAAATGGCTCGCCGGTTATTGCAAGGTAAGTCACACAGACTTTTTTCAGTACACCGATTTAACAGTTCGATGAAAGATGATGCAATCTCTGGTGATCCAAAGATTGGTAGCGGTCATTCCATCTCCCTGCAATTGGCAGAAACTATGTCAGGTTTGATCTGTATGATCAAAGCTAAAAAAAACATTAGCAAGAGAATCTCAAGTATATTACTCAGAACATAATCTACACACTAAATAACATGACTCAGCCTTCAATCATCATCATCATCTGACCACCTTCTTGCAGAGTTCTCACATGCACATTCAATTGCTCAAGCATCACTCATGTCATTTGGCGTGATTGCAATTCTTATCGTCGTTTTAGTTCTGTTGGCGCTTTGCTGGAAATCCAGAAAACCAAAGCCTACATGGAAGACTCCCAATTCTACCAAAAGCCCTGCAGGTAACAATTCACTGTATGAACAAAACAAGAATCATATCTTAAGCCTTCTCGTGTCTGTATTTCCAGATAATTTCAGCGGTAATCTTCGAACCATTTCTTATTTTGACTATCGAACTCTGAAGAAAGCAACGAGAGATTTCCACCCAAAGAACCAGCTTGGAGGAGGAGGATTTGGCCCAGTCTATAAGGTGATGATTAGTAGAGGAGAATGCTTACTTGATTTCAACTATAACAGCTGCAAATGATCTTCTAACAGGGAACATTAGATGATGGAAGAATAATTGCAGTGAAGCAGCTCTCGGTTGGCAAATCTCAGCAAGGGGAAAGAGAGTTTCTTGCTGAGGTAAGGATGTTAACCAGCATCCAGCACAAGAATCTTGTTCACCTGATTGGATGCTGCTCGGAAGGTGCAGAAAGGCTGCTGGTATATGAATGCATGACAAATGGAAGCTTGAACAGCATATTCTCTGGTCTGTGCTTCAATCTGCTACATCATTTCGTGCTCAATTTTGTCTCAATCTTTTCTTGTTGTTGTCTTTGACATGTTCATCTTTACTTTGAGGAAACCATCACTTCATGTTGCTGTGAATTAGAATTTTCACTGCTAACAATTGCAAGGAACAGGAAAGAGTGAGACATCTTTAAACTGGAAGACTAGATTCCAGATCATTATCGGGGTTGCTCGAGGATTGCAGTACCTCCATGAGGACTCAAACTTGAGGATTGTTCATAGAGATATCAAGGCCAGCAACATCCTCCTTGATGACAAATTCCAACCTAAGATCAGTGACTTTGGCCTGGCCAGGTTCTTCCCTGAAGACGAAGCATATCTCAGCACCAGATTCGCAGGAACTCTGTAAGTTGATCATGAGCTGTTAATATCATAACAAGTGGAAAATTGGATATTACATCTGCACTTTTGCAATTCATTCATGCTGAGAATTGAGTTCATACTACATTTCAGAGGCTATTCTGCACCTGAATATGCTTTGAGAGGAGAGTTGTCGGAAAAAGCTGACATCTATAGCTTTGGTGTTCTGGTGCTTGAGATCATTAGCTGCAGAAAGAACACAGATCTTTCTCTTCCAAATGAGATGCAGTATCTACCTGAATATGTAAATCCCTGCCTTCATGTGTTCTTCATATCTGCATCTGCACAGGAAGAAATGCTGATCACGTATGTATTACAGGCATGGAGGTTATATGAGAGATCAAAGATGACAGACCTTGTGGATTCCAGGTTGTTAGAAGAAGGTGCCCTGGAAAAAGATGTGCTACAAGTCTGCCATGTTGCTTTGCTGTGCCTTCAGCCACATCCAAGCTTGAGGCCTCCAATGTCAGAAATAGTTGCCATGTTGACATGCAGGACTCCACCATCTTCAGCTCCAGTGAGACCTACAATTTTGGAGAGAAAGAGTAGATTTGGCATAGGAATTTCTCCATCTTAGTTAGAAATAAAGTCAACTCTAGAAGCCATTGAGGCGTTTGTGAAAATGACAATACTGGATCTGCTATTTATTCTTACAATGTCGAAGCATTTCATCATATACATGAACAATACATGGACAAGCAACGCATGCTGACTTCAAATGGCGTCATTATCTACCACCAACAATGATCATGGCCTGGCAGAGCACTCGAGGGGCAGCCCCTGAGGGAACCTCTTTGCGTCAGCGCAGTAGTCGTAGATCATGTAGTTGTGCTGCACCCACCTCATCTTCTTCAAGCTGGTAGCATCCAACTCCTGCCACATCCAGGAGCTGCTGCCGGAGGAGCAGGAGGAAGCTCCGGAAGTCCAGAGGCAGCCATCGGCGTCGAAGCTCCTGAAGGCAGCAGTGAATGGCGCCTTGGACCAGTCCGTCTTCACCAGGCCACCCCGGGTGGCCCAGTCGTCTGCGTCCCACAGGCTCGAGTAGATTCTCATGGCTTGGTTCGTCGGGTACGGCACGCCCGTCGACTCCCTGTTCTTGAACTCCCTGATCGGCGTGCCATCCACGTAGAAGCTGCAGCATCAGGAAACGCTTAGCCCAAATGAAAGATTAGGATATGTTGATCAGTACACGATTACTCACACGATGTGTTTAGGATTCCATAAGACGGAGTAGGTGTGGAAGTTCTTGGTGGGATCAAACCAGAGGAAGAACTGCTGCTCCCTGTTCCCCTTCCCTTGGCTGAACACATTGGTGTGGAGGACGTAGGGGTCTCCGCTGAGGTTGCCGAGGAACTCCAAGTCGATCTCGTCGTGCATTACCCCTTCCGACGACAGCTTCAATGCGGCAACTCCGTCGTCTCAGTACAGCAAAAAACACGAAGGGAGAGAGAGAGAGAGATGGGTACATAGAAGGTGGTGACTGTTCCTGCGGAGTTCCCCGGAACGAGCTTGAGCTGCACATCGAACGTCCCATATACGTATCGGTTCTTCGACTGGAAACCAGAGCCGGAGGACTGGTCGAGCGAGAGCGTGAGGAGCCGCCCGTTGTCTAGGACTTTGGCACGGCCGTCGCCCCAAGTGATGTCTACGTCCCGGTAGAAACTTACAGCTGATGCAGCAGCACTTGCAGAAGCAGAGAGCAATGCAAGCAAGAGAAAGAGGTCAGTTTTGTTACAGGAAGAAAAGGAGGCCATGCCCTCAAGCGAGCAAGCTTGTGACTTAAGAACAGAGCACTTGTGCTTATGCATAGAAATCGTGAGAGAAGTGTGTACATATATAGGCAAGAGGAGGAAACAAGTCTTTTATGGAGATTTGAGAGGATATATATATATATATATATATATATATATATATATATATATATATATATATA